CCTCCACAGTCCCAAATGTACATAATCAAATGATTAAAAACTTGGTTTTGCATAGTATGTCCCCTTTAAATCGGCCCGTAATGCCCCACAAATAGCTGTCCTCCACATTAGAGCACTGTGTCCTTACTCTGTTTCCACACAGAGTCCACTCTGGTGGGTTAAACGATGGCGATCCGCCTGCCTTCTCTCATTTATTCACGCTTTATGCAGCCGCTTAACGGTGAGATAATCACACATTTGAACTGAACCGGAGCACCTAAGGGGAAAGAATCACAGCTGTGCTCTGAACAACACATCCCAGATTTACAGCGAGGCTTTGGGTGGGAGGACACGGGGGAAATGGGGTGTCCAAGCAATCAATTCTTCTGCTGGCCGTCCGTCTTCTGGGCTGATGTCTGAAATGGGAAGCTGAAGAGGGGTGTGACAAACCTCACAGTCAGGTCCTCGCTTTGCATTTCCAGCTTATTCTAACACCAAATAAAGGTCCACCCTTTGAGGGATGAGCTCAGAGAAAAGGCATCGACTCGGCAGGCGTCTGTTGGTGGAGCGGACGCTTTTAAACCGAGTGTGGAAAAGAAAAATAAGGGACAAAAATATGACAGCAGGGAGACTCGTGAGCAAATTTGGAAGAAAAAAAATCCATACAACAGCATAATTTACTTGCCCCACCCACCTATTTTGAGGTTGGAGTTCCTTTTTTCTGTTCTCAAAAGCTCCTCTTTGGCTTTTAAAAAAAAAGGTTTCTGTCAAAGTTCTGAAAAAAAAAGACCCCGATCCAACTCTTTTGGAAAAAGATACTGCTCAACTTTTATTCACCCAAACAGATAAATGGAAGGATGGATGTTTGCTGACAACACACAACTGAATGGGTGGAAAGTTTGAGATTTTCATAGAAGGGAACGTGACCACAAATGTCAGCCTCTCTGTTTAGAGACGGAAGAATCTGCATTTTTGATTGAGTGATCAAACACAAGCCTGATGGTTCCTGGAAAAGAATGGAGACTCCCATCTGTTCCTGATAACGCAGACTCATAAAAGAGGAATTTAAGGAGAATGAGTCAAGCTCGGCTCATGAGCTCCAGGCCAACAAAAGTTAAAGAAGCGTGCAGGCTTTGGCAGGCAACGGAGATCTGCAGGGATTTACCGGAGCCCAGAGGTAGGTGTGTGACACCTGAGGAAAGAGTTCAGCCGGAGTGGAGCTCTGAGGGGCGGGGCCAAATCTGACTGTCTTGATCTTTTATCTGTGATGTTTTAGTGTGTAATTTGTTCTGTTTTGCAGTCACTGTGTTTCGTGTAAAAGCCTAACTGGGGACAGGCGTTGAGAATTAGCCTTAGCTAAAATGTTAGTGTGTGAGATGTTTCATGAAACATACTTGTCCCTATCAAATAAACGAATAAATAAATAAAATAAATAAAGACAATGGCTGCTCTTTCCCTCTCATAGGTGCAGAAATCAGACTGTTTTTGGCCTGCTTGAACAGGCAAAGGCCCACTGTGGGAAAAGTGGAGAGTAGGGGTGGGACGGTTCACAAAATCCACGGTTCGGTTCGGTTCACGGTTTCGTGGTCACGGTTTCGGTTCGGTATATGTTGATTGTTAGGAAAATCTATGATGTCTTGTATAGTCAGGTTAAAACTGAAAGAAAAAAGCAGTCTGACATTTGATCCATTATTGTGACAGTCTTAGGTTAAAAGTAGGTGAGATTCTTTCTACATTATTATTAGAGTGGGTTTTTGTTTTGTTTTTGTGTAGTTATCTTCTTTTTTTTGTGTGTATATGTTTCCGTGTGCATATGCATATGTTTAGGGAAAAAAAAAAAAAGGAAAACTGTAAATTGTATTTCTATGATTGTAAGCATTATAATGTGTTTTTCCAATAAAAATATTAAAAAAAAATAAAAAAAAGTAGGTGAGATTGTGGCATTGCCAGAGAGGAAACAGTGGTAATTCCAACATGTGCTTCCCTCTAAATGCAAACTGGTCCATACAGCAGAACTAGAAACTGCTGTTGGCGGTCTGATTTTTATGGGCTACGCTGCTTGTTCTTCTTCTTGTTTCCTACTGGTGGTTGGCTTTGGGCGCAGTAGCGCCCCCTTCTGGTCTGGAGTGTAAACGCTTCCCTCTGAGAAAAAGGAGCAGCAGGAACCGAACGCAACACACGCGAACCGAACCGAGACAGTCCAACCCAACGGTTCAGACGGTTTTCAGAAACCGTCCCATCCCTAGTGGAGAGAGGCAGACTGACCTGTATATGGAGATGTTTTCTATCATCTGGTTGGAGGCACCGTCGTAAAGGATGATTCCACGAGGCGACACGCTTAAAGTGACTTTCTGGAGTTTTTTTCCGCTGGCTTTGGCCTGGAAAGAAGGACGGAGACAGGAAAATTGTACATTGTGTGAAACAAATAATTCAATCTGACCGCTAAACAAAACGACAAGCTCAAGAAAAGGTTTCCCATTCAGGCCGGGTTTCCTGTCAGAGCCGGGCTAAAAACAGGAGTCAGGCGCAGAGATTTGGGCAAAAAATGTGGATTTTAATTGAACAAGGAAGCACTCGCAGGAAGTGGAAGGCAAGGCGAAAAGTACAAAACAATAATCACTCAGAAAACGTTAACATGACGTTAGCCTTGAATTGCTAGCAGCGGCTAATGGCTAACAATAACACGCCAACATTGATCAAGTCTGGATG